CATAATAGTAAAATCTGTAATAATTTTCCCACTAAAAATTTGGTCAGTCCTGAAAAGAAGAAAATCGTTTTAAAATTGATATTTTGGTGGTGAAAAATTAATTATGTATAATACAATGTTGTATGCTTCTTTTCTGAAGATAATTTAAAAATATATGATTTGTATCCTGACATTTTAAACATTTTCACATGTGTCACAAAAGAGCTAATTTTCAATCAACTGCTTATACTGGATAATTCTTACCGTGAAACGTGTAACATTGAAATTAAGATTTTAGAAAGTATGCCTTTTTGTGGGAAATCCGTTTCAGTAAAATTTAAGGCTATCTTGTCATGGCCGTCCTTCTAGTTTTCTGTTTGGCTGGGGAAACATCGGTCCATTCCTTCTGGCACATACGAGGTACGAGAAGCAGATGCCCTATGTTCCCTCCTAACCTATGTCTGAAAAAAATATTACCAAGGACCAAGTTTGTACTATGTCGGTCGACATCAACTCGACTTTTCCAAAATTTTGTGTGGGAAGTTTTGTGGGAGAACTACCGGAATGATATGGTCAAATTTCGATTTTTCCAAAATTTTGTGTAGGAAGTTTTGTGGGGGAAGTATTTCCATTTCACACTTTCTCTCACATAGTCATATATATTAGGATGCACAAATTCGAATATTGATCTGCCACTCTAAGACTGTTATTATTTTTCAAAATTTTGACCTTTTACTGTTACAAACTGTGGCTAAAATCATCAGAATACCGAATATATATCCAATATTCTACTGTAGGTAAAATCCACTATGAACTTAAGTACCAATTTCTAGACAAATCCTTTATAAAATGTGATTTAAATCGTCAAGATGCCGAAGGTAGGGAAGTATCGTCGTATGGGAGCTGTAAAAATACCTATAATAAGAAGGCTATCGTCCTATGGAGTGTAATCCAAAATTTCAAGTTAAATTAAACAAATTTTGTGAGAGGGTTTTCTATCTATTGCTATAGGAAACTACATCCTCTAAAGCTACCAATATGACCAGAGCCTTAAAAACCCTCAAATCGGTCGATGCCCCTATGTACCTTACGAAAATATTGAATATCGAACCACGTTTTGAGATATGAAGCTGACCTGATATTCAACAATTTTCATAAGGTGCATTTGCGGTTTAAAATTGTGGCCGACATATTCGAAATACTGAATATCAGGAAAGACCAGAATATGGAGGCATTACCTACAAGGCATCTTCATCAAAAATGTTCTCGGTAGGGGTTTATTCCATTGAGAATTGAAATCATATATAAATTAGTTAACAATGCGAATAAAACTTACAAAATACTTCAAATCCGCAGTTACAGTTATGTGGTGTCGATACCAATTAATGGACCTATACTGCAAATCTTTGTAGAGAGAGAATCTGGTTGATGTCCCCATATGAAGATGGTGACAAAACATGGACCGATATTTTATAATTTTCTATTGGTCATTTTTCTTCCAGTTAGATCATAATCAAAACAGATGCTTTCGAAACACAAAATATCAGAAGGTATCACAATAAGGGCCCAATACCAAAAAAGAGAACTGAGTCGTAAATACAACTAATATCGTTCCAAAACTCTTCTGGACCCACAAAACGCTTAAATTTGGAAATTTCAGTTATGGCGTGTCCACACCAATAAGTGGACCTATACTGAACATATTTGTAAATGGGGAATATGACCTACCCATAGCTCTCACTATAAGATATGGTTGGAAATTGTGGCTGAAATATTAAAAAAAAAAAAAACGAAAAATTCAATAATTCAAATATACGGTAATAAGGAGGTATATAAATATAGACTAACACAGCCTATTTTTAACAACAATTATCCTTGAAGTACATCAAACGTTTGTATCAATTTTTATTTATTCTTATTAAATATTATAACTTCTATCTTGATTTCAACTGACGGATCAGGAGAGAGACGAAAGGAAATTGTTAGATCGATATAGAACTGTATTCTGAACATGAATATAAACATTACAGGGTGAGATGAAACAAAACAATAAAATTAAAAAAATGTAAATATTATAGTGTTTCACTTTGTTGCAGTTTTTTATATCACCTTGTGTAGAGTCCAATATAATTATATTAAGATATTGGAAAGGGGAATGACAAAGTTAATAATATACCCTGAGATAATAATATCATTTTTAAGTGGTCACTGGCTATTTTTCAGTAGTAGCCAGACGTTTTACTAAGCTGAGGACAAATCCCTCTTGTTGTTTTTTAAAATCGCATGCATTTCAAAACTTTTAACCATTAATCAGACTTACAATAAAGTTTAAAAATACTTGAATGTGGTTTTGAAAGATTTTTTTTATTTTAAAAAAAAATATGTATTTTTTATGGCATACTTTATGACATAATTCTGCAAAATTATTGTGAGAGAAATATAATTCAGTGCAAACAAAAGAACTGTTATTTTGATTTATGCAAGAACCAACATTTTAAATCAAAAATTATATCATCGGCTTAAATAGACCAATTGATTTAATTAGTTGAAGGGTATTTATTCCTTTTCGCCGAAAGGTTATTGCACCAAAAAGCAAATGGAAGATGTTTTCTTATCTTTTGATTTAATGCCTCTAAACATGTCAAAATATAGAATTAAGTGTTGTTTAGCAAACGTCAAAAACCACATTAATTCGTCTATCAAATAGCCACACATTCATCTAAGTCATTTATAATTAATTCAAGAGAAGAAACAAAAGACTTAAGAAACGAACTTTTTAAAGAAAAAAAAAACTACAATATTAAATCGCCTAATGTAGATAAATGTTAATTATATATCTAAAACGACTCGTTTAGGTTTATGCAGCAATAAAAAACATTTGATGATTTTTTAAAAAAAATTGCATTTCATTAATATTATAGAACACATTTCTTAGACTTTATTCAAATTAGTGTGGGTTGTTAGACAGGCGAATGTACTGTTTGCTAACCAAAGAGAAAGTTTGCAAAATACGCTACAAAAAACATTTGAATTGTTTTTGAAAATTTACATATGAATCTTTATCTTTTTAGAGAAAATATATTTGAATATTCGTGTATTGTTAGAGATTGCATAAACTTGATTCTATTTTAAACCGCTTTTGGTTCAATAAAATACCGAATTTTTGAATTGGTTACATCAGCATAGCGCACAATTCTCCATTTTTATTAAACAAGACATGAGATTTGTATTCGTCATTTAAAGATAAAAATTTGATTTAATTGATTTGAAAAAAATTGTTTGCCATTTTGACCTTGAAATATTATTAATAGGAAAGTCTTCACTGATATCATATAAATACTTGTGTAGCTGATAGTCTTGTAAAACTTTCAACTGTTTGGTATTTATGGACCGGACAAGTAGAGAAAGTTGGAAAAAATATTTATTTCTAAAATTTCTTTTGCAATTTTTTCCTGTTCATATGTTCCTACCAAGAAAATTTGCTTTTAAAAATCGAATTTTCAATTTTTAGATCGATATTTTTGTTGAATATTTCTGCTACCTTTGATGCTTCTGTTTTTTTTTTTATGTTCTGCCCATAAAAGAAAGCGTATGTCAAATTTATAACTATTATTTTGATTATTCCTATTATACCCGAAATATTCGTCGTTGAACCTGTTTGTAAGGTATATATTTATCATAAAAATATTTGTCTATTTAGTTACCACCCTCTATTGAATTTATCATGGACTTCACACTATTAAATATAAGATATTCACAAATATTTATATTGGGGAGGATTTTGCCCCAATTTCCAACCAAATCTACAGCCGAATAGAGTTACTTCCCAATGTAGGTTAATTTTCTGATAAAGACGTCATATAACGTCCTCCCGATCTTCGGTATTTTTGGAACTTTCAAAAATATTTAATAGAGACTTATTTTTCTTGGAATAGCACCAAAGAGCAGATTAACTTCTTTCAATATAAGTGTAGTTCCCATATAAAGGAATTTCTAAGACTTAAGGAAAGGACCTTAAATTTGGGGATAGCCCAACATGGTAGCCCGCTTGACTCAATCTCACGGTGCTCTAAACGCCAGATGAATAAAATGCGTTGACCTGCGCCCACACCGAAGTATGAGTACCAATTTTTTCATACGTATTTCGACATATGTCACCCCCTTGTTTAGGGAACGAGCCAATCTAAACACCGGCCTTTCTATAGGGCAGGCACCCAAATACACATTCAGCAGCATCGGATTGGCCCCTTCTATGCAAAAACCATTTAGGAAACCGTGACCTTTCAAATTAATCCCAAGGCTGAGTCGAAACCATTGATGACAAATGTCACATCCGGAATAAAAGCGAACGTGACTCTCTTTCATTTGGTCTCTCATTCCATCTATTTGGCCAACCAAACACTCTGGAAAAATAGCCTTATTCCTCCTTACGTCATGAGAAATACCCACCCAGTCATTCGCCCTCTTAATTTTAAATTTAGCTCGGGGACCCCTTCTAAAATGGTCAATTAATTTCGGAACATTTAGCTTGAAAAATATTTTTATTGTTTATGGGGCCTTCGCACAATGGTTTCGCAAGATATTTTTGGCTGTGTAAAGAGTCGATGTACCAATGCCTGTTAACTGAATATTTTTTTCAAATAATTTTTACAGCCTATCATTTTAAACATTGGAGCAGATTAGACTTACCGAACATTAGGATGTACCTCTACATTGGCGCTATGTTACTGAACATTTTCTGACTGTGGCTAAAATAATATGGCCCTTGACTTGATTTTAAGATGCATACAGCCGGACATAGCTAAATTGAACTAGACGTGATCATACACGATTATCTCGATAAGCAGTGCTGAATTTAAAATAACTCCCATCTTATGTATAGAAACAGCAGATGAACATTCTCATTCCTCTCCCTTTCCCCTTAATTAATTTGCTGTTTTCAATATATCATTCATATATTTATATAATTTTCTTGATTTTCTTTACTAATTAAATATTTTTTTTTCTATTTTTCATTTCAGAATGGATGGTGTGAATGAGATCAACATAAAATTACCAAATAGGTTGTTGATAATATCAATTGAAAATTATACTTAAAGAAATATTTATAACATCAACAATTAAGAACATTGCAGAACAATTAAAACATTCCATCTATCTGGCTCAAATATAAACACAGATCATGGGCCGGAAAGTTCAACCCAAAATTAGTAGTCTCACAACAACAACAACAAGTAAACAAATGCCGCTCAAAATGTTAAAACATCAGAAAAACAATAAAACTTTTGTTGCCATCAAGAGTTGGCAACTCTTCCACATTTCAATGCTGCTCACTGTTATTGCCCTGTTCGCAAGCAATGCTGGTAAGTGGAGTGAATTTGAAATGAATTCCAAATTAAAAAATGTTATCAAGTTTATATGCAACCCAAGCCAGCAGAATGCTAGCTGGCTTTATTGTTATTTTAATTGTTATTGTAAAATATTTCTTATCTTGGCAAAGTTTTTGATGATGGCAACCTGCTTTCTGTCCCCAGAATTTATGCATTTGGGTTCATTTTTCGAAATTGCTCTGAGAAAGTTTAGTTATTTGCATTCATACAAGGAAGGAATGAAGTATTTGTCAGATAAGACTGTAAACACATTTGTAGTGTATGTATGTCAAACTTGTCAACGATGAGAGAGGTTTGGCAGTAACCGATGTTTTGTTTTGAAGGGGTTAATAAATTTTAACTGTTCTTGTTTTGGATTGTGGTAATGTTTGCTAAATTAAAATTCACACGAAAAAGTAACAAACAAAGTCCACAGGCAATTGTGTTCTTTATTCAAGTTTAGTTTTGTTAGTGTTTAATACTAAGATCAGATAATATGCTTTCATTAAAAAAACAAGGTATCCTATTACTAATGTTAATCGTCAGATATTAGCAACACCGCGCAATTTTTCTGTGTATTTTTTATTCGCTCTGTCGCATGGCCTTAGAAGGCATACATCCTTTGAAACGTCCAGCCAAAATGACTGTTTGGCTGGCCGGCTGGAAATCTCTATAACCCTCGAAGGGAGAATTAGGCTCAAAGTAAGCACATCCTTATATTTATACCCTCTGCCATATGGCTAGAGAGGGTATATATCATTTGATACGGTCAAAAGCGTCCCTAGGTCTCTTTGGATCAAATCCGTTTTAGGACATTTGGAGTCGATTTAGCGATATCCGTACGTCCGTCCGTCTGTCTGGCTGGTGCGCAAGATAACTCTTGAAGGGAGTATCCGATTTTGTCCAAAATTGGTACATCGTAATATTATTATCAAACTTAGATCCTTCTGGTATCTCCCCCCCAAAAGGTCGAAATTATAAAAAAAAAAAACAAATCATTTCACTGCACTGAAAGAGAAAGGATAATCCGATTTTGCTCCAACTTTGCAAATCCTAGTATTTGCATCAGCGCAAAAAATGGACAATGTCGGTCCGCTCCATCAAGTACCTCCCCCACAAAGGGTTAACATTTTGAATAATTATAACTCTTATAAAATGTGATGTAAGAGCCCGATTGTTTTCAAATTTCACACATGGTAATATTTTTATTAACCCAAGCTCTGGTGATAAGATGGAATATATCGGTCCACTCCTTCTGGTACCTCCCCCACAAAGGGTCGAAGTTTTGAATATCAATGAAGCTCATAAAACATCCGATTCCATTCAGACTCCTTCTGGTACCTCCTCCACAAAGGGTCGAAATTTTGAATATCAATGAAGCTCATAAAACATCCGATTCCATTCAGACATGGCACATCTGAATATTTCCCTCAACACAGGATCTGTTATTAAGATGGTAGAGATCGGACCATTCCTTCTGGTACCTTCCTCACAAATGGTCAAAGTTTTGAATAACCAAAACGATTATAACTTCCGAAAATGCATCCGGTTTTCTTCATATTTCACACATCTTTTTATTTACTTACTTAAGACCTGCTGTGAATATGGGAGGTACATCCCCTACAAAGCGTCAAAATTTTAAATATCAATGAATTAACATCCGATTCCATTCAGACTTAGTACATCTCAATATTTTCTTTAATATAAGATCTGTTATAAAGATGGTAAAATCGGACCATTTCTTCTGGTAACTCTCCCACATAGGGCTTAATATTTTGAAAAACAAAACGCGAAATAAGCATCCGACTCTCTTCAAATTTCACACATACCAACATTTGTGCTCAAGATCTCTTGTGAAGATGATACATATGTATCTTCGAACCCCTGGTACTTCACCCACAAAGGGTCACAATTCTCAATACTTTTATCTACCATAACATGCTAAACAAATCAGCGATTTTTACAACTTGCTATATCTAAATATATCTCACAACCGGAAACCTGAGATAAATATGGAATTAATGATTTCGCATAAAATTGGATATAAATGTTCGACTTTCTCGTAATTTTGCCCATACCAATATTTTTATTTGTATTAGATGAGGTATAAAAATGGAATATTTGGCAACTCACGTACATCTCAACATTCATTAAAAATAATCACACATCTCATATAAAATGAAGGAAGTTGTTGATATAGTCCGAAACTGGTACGTCGCAATATTTATATCATATATTTATATCATTCCTTCGGAACCTACTCCCTAGAGGGTCAATAGTTTGAATAATCATAACACAAGCCAATATATATTTTATAATCAAACATTGGCTGAGGGTATACATCTGTCGGCAACCCTGACTGATACTTTTTAACTTTATTATGTAACATAGATCAAGTTCGAAGATGGACATCATCGACCACTCGCTCCCCTTCTGGCAAAAATTTCCAAAATTATAAAAATTAAGTACTTCATAGATTTGCATGTGTAGTTGTTGTTTTTGACAACGTTAATCAATGAGGGCTACACAAGAATACAAAATTCCATACAAAATGCAAATTGAAATGACAATAGTACAGCAGTGTGTGTGTTTGGGTACGGGTATAACCCACATTTGATTGGATGTCTACAACTTCAATTCGAGAAAATTGAGAGCGAGTACGTGAGGTGCTCGATGATGGTTATTTTTGGCATGTGAAATGTTTTCACAAAACATACCTGGCCGCCCAACTACATGACTCACTGACATCATCATCTGCTGACTTTTGAATTGTGCTATTGTGAGGATTGTAAAATTTCTATCAAAAATTTAGATTTTTTGTTTGGTATGTAAATATAAATATGTATCTATCCATCTATGTTGTATGCCATCATAACTTATTCCATGGCCCAACCCTGTTTTTCGCTTTGATGATGAATTTATTAATTTCGTTTATTGTTAACGGATTTCGTAACTTCGTTAATTCCCGCTCACGATGGGTGATTGTGCTATTATTAATCACAATAAAAAAAAGAAATAATGAAGATAATGCCAAAAGATTTCAAACTGATAATATTTTGCAAATTAACTGAGTTTTTATGTATGCGAATGTGTGTTTGTATGCAAAATTGTTTACAAAAATTTTAAAATAGTCGTCATTAAATTTTTAATAAATTATTTACAATTGTGCGGAAAAGAGTGTTGTAAAAAATTGGGGAAATGTGGTGTTTTATAAATCTAACAACTTGCCGGAATTAAACGCTTGGTTTCGTCAAACTATTTCGCTGAAGCTCTGATTTAATGCATCGTTGATCTTGACGCATAGATTATATAAGATTGCCTGAAGGTGGTAGTGATATTTGGATGTATACCACTACAGCCGGAAGGAAAAACCTAAAGAAAGAAACAGCTCGTCGACATGAGGAGATCGATGCATATCGATATCGTGGGTCTAGGACCAATATTTCCAAGTGTTACGAACTTTTTGGCCCAATCAAAATTAAAAAAAAAAAAAAAAAAACAGCAAATAGTGCTGTAGGGTATAAAAATCTATTGATATTGAGGCAATAGCTTCCATATAACAGCACCGTACTGATTTTGGAAATATCTATTGTAAGAATTGTTTCTTGAAAAAAACTTCAATCATAAGCCAATGATCGGTCCATCCCGATTTGAGGTATTATATTAAAATATTTTTACTTTTATTAAGAGGTTTTTCCAAAATTCAAACTATGAAGAAGTACTAAAAGTTAAAAAAAAAATATAAATGCTGTGTGTTGGTACAATTATATGTTTATACCCTACAACACTATGTGTTGAGGGTATTATAAGTTTGATTGGCCCAAAAATTATGTAACACCTCGAAATATTGATTTCCCATATAGGAAAGTATATATGGATCTTCCTTGCTCGCCGAGCTGAGTCGATCTAGCTATGTATGTCCGTCCGTCCGTCTGTCCGTCTGTCCGTCTGTCCATGTTAATTTGTAATCACTCTACAGGTCGCAATTATGACCCGATCTTCACGAAATTTAGAATGGAGGTGGGACTGAGGTCAGAATAGAACCCTATTTCTTTTGAAGATGATCGCCAAATGTTTAGGGGTTGAAATGGACCAAATACTGAAAAAATGTCGGATTTTGCAGAAGCTATACAGGTCGCCATTATAGACCAATTGACGCGGAATTTCGCATGTAGCTGGAGTTTAGGGAGGGGAAGAAGCCTACCAATTTGGGTGGTCTTCGGATAATATTTAGCGGGTAAAATAGACCATATCTTTTGTGTTGAAAAAATTCAAAATTTTTCATTAAACCGCGAATATTTTAAATCCCGGCGAAATCACAAAGCCATGACAAGGTTACTTCTGATCTTTACATTCATGTTAACATCCAACAAAACGGATATATAGCAAAATATGTGCGATATATATGTTTATCAAAGAAGATATGCTTGAAAAATCTCTTATATGTCGAGAACGGCTGAACTGATTTCGACAGTTCTCATTAATTCAGAATGGCCTTTTGGCAGGAAAGAAAAAACGTCTAAAAAAATCTCATAAAAATATCTCTCTAAAGATGAAAATATTGATTTTTTAAAATTTTCTCATATTTTTTCAATTTTGTCATATTTTTGGCATATTTTCATTTTGAATTAAACATTTGGTAATATTTCTACAGCTAACAAAACTAAGTAGTTAGGATATCAGGATATCATATACAGATCGCATTTATGGCTCGATCCTTACGAAATTTTGCATGGAGATAAGATGAGGGTCAGAATAGAAACCTACTCTTTTTGGAGACGATCGCCATATATTTAGGGGTTGAAATGGACCAAAAAACTGCAAAATTGTCTGCAGGTCGTAATTATCGCCCAATCCTCACGCACATTTGAATGGGGGTTACCGGACATTTCAAAAGCCAAGCAGTTTTGGATGGCCATCCAAAAATATTCAATGTGTGAAGGAGTTTGCCAACTTTTGTAGACAAAATACGAAAATGTCCATTCCAGTGACTT